GGCGGACGGCGACCCGGCGGGCAAGACGGTCTGGGTCAATGCCATGCCCGACGTCTATTCCATCCGCCACAGCACCGTGGAGGACTACCTCGAGCCCGCCATCCACGAGAATCAAGGTCAGCCGCGCCGACCTGCTCGGCGAGCTGCGCCGCCCGGCCAAGTCCGCCGCCTACCGCGCGCTGTGCGGCCAGTGCTGGTTCGTCATCCGCGCGGGCATCGCCGAGCCGGACGAGATCCCGCCCGAGTACGGCGTGCTGATCGGCCACGACCAGCCACCTGGAACTGGCCCGCCCGGCGCCCAAGCGCGCCTGCAAGCCCGACTTCGCCACCTGGATGGCGCTGGCCCGTGCGACACCGCTGGCGCTGCCGGAGGATCCACAATCGGCCCTCTGACCTGCCTGCCCGAGCCCGCCATGCCTGCAGCCGACACCACCGCCGATGCCGCCGTGCAAGCCCTGTTCGACGCCCAGCCCGAGGCCCGGGCCGAGGACTGCCGCACGCTCAGCGCGCTGATGCAGCGCGTCAGTGGCCATCCGGCGCGGCTTTGGGGGCGGATGGTCGGCTTCGGCAGTTACCACTACGTCTACGAGAGCGGCCGCGAGGGCGACACCTTCGAGATCGGCTTCGCCAGCGGTGCCGGCGGCAAGGGCGACCTGACGCTCTACCTGCACCTGAACTTCGACGTCACCGACAGCGCGCCGTTGCTGACGCGCCTGGGCAAGCACCGCCTCGGCAAGGGCTGCCTCTACCTCAAGCGCCTGTCCGACGTGGACCTCGCCGTGCTCGAGGACCTCTGCGCCGCGGCCGTGCGGCAGCGCCGCGCATGAGCGGCCCGGTCATCGACGCGACCTGCCCCCGCTGCGGCGGTGGCTTCGAGTGCGGCTTCCAGGCCGGGCACTGCGCCTGCTTCGGCATCCGGCTGTCCGAGCGGCTGCGCCAGCAACTGGCCGACCAGTACCGCACCTGCGTGTGCATGGCCTGCCTGCGCGAGCTGATGGAAGCGGACGTGCGGCA